GTAATCAATCAGAGGAAAGTTACAGCTAGGAACTCTGAAGGGAGAACAGTAAAAGAGGGTAAATAAAGAAAGAGGAGAGATAGAGTAATAAAACAAAGGCACCAAAACGAAGGATACAGGCAGACCTCAAAATGCTGTCCTCTGATACGACCCCTATCTAGCATATTTTCAACTTCCCTTCATTCCTACCACAGCACTTTTCTCCAGTTTTCCAGAAAGTTCTCAACTTTTCCCCAAAAAACTGCTTTCGGGCGAGCAGGGGGAGTATACAGCGCACAGTGAAACGGAAAAATGCGAGAAGACAACAACTGAAAACATTCTTCTCAAAGGCAGATACCTCCCCCCCCTTACCTCCAACAACCGCATAGTACCTCTCTCCCTCGGAAAGTACCCAGCATTCGATGGCCCCCTGTCTACAACAACGCAAGGTGATGCGCTTTAGAAGTGCGCCCTCTAGCGTCGTGGTTAGAGGTGAACCCTTGGGGGCGCTCAGATACACTTTCCTTGCCCTCAATAGAAGACGAGAAAACTCGTCCAACGAACCTTCTTCGATAGTGATGGCTTCGTTGAATTGTTGTTTCCAACTGCTTGTGCCGACCATAATGGACGTGTTGGCGTTGGTGAGCATTCGGTCGACAAAATTCTTGAACTCTTTGTCTTCAGTGATCACCACCTTACAGCGGCTCAGTGACAACACTGGTCGACCTTCGATTCCTTCATCCTAAAAATACCTCCACTATCACCGATTTTGGAGCTTCTTAAAGGATTTCTCACCCCATCAGTGACTTCTCGATGCCAAATTGGTTCGCCTAATTCGATGAAGAATTCTTCGCTTTTCTCATACTCATCGTCGTTAACTATTGGTATACGAATCTCGGCTCTGAAACCAGGAACTTATCAGTTTTTCACGGGATTTCGGAGCAGTTAGGCTTGGTGGGGGCAAAAAATAGTACTCAGCCACAGGACGGGTCACCTCGTGAAAACGTGTAAATCCCTGTCGCTAAATTGACTTGTTTGTGCTACTTCGCAGCTTCACAGAGTTTACAGCTCTCCGGAAACCGAAATTAGACCTGTTAGTGAACATGAACTATCGATAGGAGATAGCGCTAAAAGGCAACATGCCCCCTCCCAAGCCGAACATGCTGGGATTTGTTCGGATGAACACTTGATAATACGTACTTGACCTGCTCGTCGTCAAAGCGGATGACACCTTCCTGGTGCTCATAATCAGCGCCAGCTTTTGCCTGTCCGTCAACTGTTTTGTAGGGAATCGACACTTCTCCACGAGCTCCACGGGTTCGAATTATCTGTAAAGCAGTTTCCAACTGGAATGGTTGAATTGAAGCACTTCTGGGCGCTAATAACCTTCGCGGGGTGGTGGGAACAGGCGGCGGAGGGGATGCGGAGAATGAACAACTAAGGTGGGAGTTACATCATCGGAGGCCAGTACCGTCCTTTGAATCGGTGGACCATCATCTTCCTGGCTGAGGCAAAAGTTCTCACCTCTCTTGGAAATCCCAGAAGAGCCCTCCGGGTTCCCTCACCTTTCCAAAGGTGACCAGCATACGCTCTGCCCTCCAGAGTTGTTATTTAGCACCGGTAAAGCAACGGCAAAATTTCAGCAAAAGCATCCTTTTTCAGGTTTCTTGCGTCATGAGAGTTGAACAGTACCGTCCGTCTCCTCCCCCGTCCCTCCAACCTAAACCTCCCCAAAGGTCAGTAGCACTCAAGTTCATCCTCCTTGGCGTTTATCTCTCCTCTTACCTCAGCGACGAACACTCCAGCACTTTCGACCACTTTGAACTTTTCGGAGGCAAATCCGAACGCTCCGGCATGATCGTCGTCGACGATGAGCACCGTGGCCGTAGAAGCAGCTCCAAGGCGTACGGGAATCGGCGTGAACTGTGACGGCGAATGAGCACGGACCTGAAATCGATAAGTGCTGCAAAAATCGTCCTCGAAAAATAGAGCTCTGTTCGAGGTTCCCCGGAATCATGGATACCTGTGATAGGCGGACCATAAACTGCTCGTCTTCTTCGTAAATATCATTATCGACAATGGCTATTTCTATTTCTTGCCTAAAAACAACTTCGATCTAGTCACAAGCGATTAGTCTTTCTCCAAATGCAGTCCTTTTTTGCAGTTAAATTGTGTTGGCAACAAACGAGCGTCTGAATAGTAAGTAGCACCGGCAGAGTTCAAGTTTTTACTTTTTTTGGGCACAGATGTTCCACTAAAAATCGTTGGGATTGAAGAAGGAGCACTCCATATCCTGGATATGGGGAGGGCGTGGCAGCGCTCTTTAGTTGAGCGAGCCGGAGGTTGCGTTTTCGGCGGTATACTGCCATTTTGCGACAATTCCAATCATGTCTTTGTCTATCAGAACAGAATAGCAACCGTTTGAAATGGGAATATTTTGGAAAAACGCATCTTACGCCATGTTCAAATGAGGTACGCAGCCACGCCCTTTCATATTCGGGATATGGAGTGTGACCGCAGTCAAGGCAAGCAAAACAGTGGTTCAAGCTCCTCTAGAAACGTTGGAGTTCGCTCATTAATGATCACCTTGCATGTATTTAGTATTTAGGTCCAAGGGCCCACTCCTAAAGGACCACGTTGTTTTCACGCACCACCCCCCCCCCTTTTCTGCTTTGTGTCGTACTGCGTACGAGCAATAAAGGCACAATGGGTTTGGCGCTGCACCAGCCCTTTCCCCTAATTGTGGGAGCTGCAGGAGAACACAAATGGTGGAGAACAGTTTGGCGCCGCGCCAGACCCAGCCTTCCCCCTCCTAAAACGCCCCTGCGCCCGCAGCGAACAAGTCTATATCATCAAGGTCCCAGAGAAACTCGAATGTGAAGAAGTCAAAGTCTGAAGCTATTTTCGCAGGAAAAAAACCTGAAAAAATGAGAATGTTCAAATCATTCAAGCCACCGGGGCCGGCGTTTTTTCAGAAAATCGAGAAACTCACTCATCAACTCCCGGCTTGAAGGTGAGACTTCCTTCAACGGGAATAAAGTCGGAATGTTCTTGAGCGGTATCGGCCACTGTTCTGCAATAGATCAATCTAAACTTGATTCTTTTCAACGTACTAATGCTAATTTTCAAGTATACTCAAGTTTTCCCTTTGACTGGAAGAAGCTTCGTATGCGTAAGAGAAAGAACGAGCCTCCCCCCCCCCCGCGCTCGAAGTTTCCTTTTCTGGTACGATTCACCCCACCCTATCCTATTTACCATTTTCACATAAATGCTCCAGCTTTTTACTGATCCTTCCCTGAAGAACGTACAACGTAGCACATGTGGGAGGACTGACTGGAAATATCTGAGGAGGTTCACCAATGTACGACATGCCCTGCTGCGTACTCCAGCTGGGCGCCCTATATGGGAAAAATCGCATTTAAAGGTTTCAAAATGTTTCCGAAGGAAAGGATATTGCCTTGCTGAATGCTTCGATTAACGTTGAGTGCTTTCTCCTTTTCTGATTTGTGCAAACTTTCATCCTTTCGTGCTCATTGACAGAAGTATGCGAAAGGAATTATCCTTCTACCGCCCTCTGTAACAATCTTTATCCGATCGGGATAAGCACAGCCGATGCAAATGCCAGAGAAGGATCTTTCAAATAACAGAGCTTCAGGGACAGAAACATTTTTTCTAGGGACAGATCGGAAGCTTTTCCCATACGTTCGTGATAACCCAGAATTCGGACCTATTTTCACATTTTTCAGCTGAAGATGCAGGTTGGAAGCTGATTCGGATGGGAAATTCTTCTAATCTCCTTTTCCTTCTGAAGCGCGAATGGCTTGCCGTGGATGTAGGCCAGAAGCATCTCTTGTGCTGGCGCCACTCAATCAAATGGGAATTGGTTCT